AGAGATTAGTATTACAGTCATCTCAGCACTTAACAGACTACGCGCCAACCAAATTCAAATACGAATACACATGCAATTACGAATTCATTTCGTCGCATCCCGAGATAAAAACTGTCACACTCAGTAGTTTGTGATTAGATTCATCAATGGAATTGTAGATATACGATTCCACCTCAGTAAAATGGAAACTTCGCTGGAAAACTCCAGCGTTTATGCAAGGAGTCAGATTGACGAACTTTACACAAATCGACAAAAATGTTGTCGTTTTTTCGTAAAACCCAACGTCTCACGCCCGCGCCGTGCCCTTACGTGCGGCCGCATCCAGTCGAATCTGTATCCCGGCACGCGGCTGAAGTACACCGAACGATCACTCGCCGGAAACTCGGGGTCCTCAAACAGTGTGCGGCGCTTCAGATGCTCGCGACTCAGGGCCTCGTACTTGGAAGGCGAGGGTGCCGGCTCTGCCATCTCACCGCGGTGCCACGTCTGCATGGACGGTTGCTGATCAACCTCAGTGGCTGGTCGGCTCCACTGCCAGCATCGGTTAGATCTGCCTGGCGGTGACTTTTTGAGGTGGCGGAGCTGCCTACAGTTCAAATTTGCCACACGCTATACTACCACCTGCAAGCAACCACAGTAAACGTGAGCGGCAATATTACGTAGGTTTGTGCAGTGCCTGGTATACGGACAGACTCGATAAATTCCATTTTAATGATTGATGATGACGATGCAGCTCAGACAATACAGCACGCGAACAACAGCGCGTCAGGTGACGAACTTGTGCCAACCGCTACGGCTGTTCACGCAGACGCACTAATAGTCTAATACACAGACGCACACGCAAGAACTCATCCACGAAAGGCGGCGCGTCCGTCGGTCGCGACCGTCACAACTCGCTGATGACAGCACAGGAAACAAACAATTATGTCGCAGTACGGAGCGAGCAGGCGTTGTGTCCCCGAGCGGCCGGTCACCAGCGCGAACACCTTGCTGACCAGAGACATTCCACAGTGATTACAGCAGACGACGGTGTGGCGGTGCAGCGCCGTCACGCTCGACGAGTCTCCCGCCAGCAAACTTAGCAGCGAGCGAGAGAGAGCAAGCATAGCGAGCGTAGGTAGCATGCGCTGGTAGCGGTGTTTGCACTACTACGTGTGGGTAACCGCGCGAGTAGAGAGCGCCGTGGGGGTGGGAGAGAAGCGCGCTGGTTCACAATGTGCTACTATAAGTTGCGCGCCTTACCTCGGGGCTTGCTGGCCGCACGCGTGCAAGCAGTCAGCAGACGGGTGTTATTAACGGGCGTAGGCAGGCATACGCCGCAGCAGCTCACCGGCCGCAGGTAGCTAGTAGGTGGATACACTCACACCTACAGACGCACGCACCTACGTTTACACACGTACATTCATTTACTCATTCATTCAGTCATGTATGCATACATTCCCACGCACACACTCACTTCCATGCACGCAGAAACGTATGACGCGCCGTAAGTTGGCCTGTTTGGGGTACTCACACGTACATAGGCTAATATATATAGGCTATATGGAACCATATAGGCTAACAAATTCATAAGACGTTTATAATATTTCCTAAACAATAGACCTGTGTGACACCAGGGAGACCCAGCGAGAAGTCAACAACCTCGCACCATGTAGGGATAAAATATGTTTATTTTTAAATGACAATACCTACCATGAATGCATGATTTAATTAACCATATCTTTGGGTCATATGCGGTTTTATGTAATTTTATTAACAAATAAATGCTCATTCTATTGTAAAATACTAATAATAGTACACAAGGAATGACAGCTATTACCAGATGCTACAGACATATTCATATGAATTTTTAGCAACTATTCGTATTGTGGCATTGTGTCGATCTTGTGCATAGATTGCTTGAACCAAGAACTGCACTAGGAAAGTTAACTTTTTAGGAGAGTTGTTTCCTTTTGTAACCTATAGCCTCTAATATTATTGCCAATACAAATTTCCACCACAGACAGAATTATTCTGAAGTAATGCATTCCATATCTTTGTTCCTAGGAACTGCAGGATTGATGCTAGCTAGCATATCATTATATGACATTTAATTCTTTCTTACAGTATTAAAGAATGAAAGAATTCCTATATTCTGAACTTTTGAGTAGGACTGGATATTTTTTTATGGATTTTACAACAGGTTATATAGTTGAAATCAAAATGTTTAAAATCAGGATTGGCTGGGCTTTCAAACATATTTCCTAGACTGTTTCTTATATGAAATTTTGTTGTCTTAAATTGATGTTAAAACTTATGTGTGTCTTACAAACAAGTGCATTAATGTGAACACAAGGTGCCCAATATATAACAATATACACACAGAGTGTGCACAATCTCATAACTAGAAGCAGCAAATTAAAAAAACGCAGCCAGTTTGCACTTGCCAAGTGTGTATCTAAGAAAACCTCCAATTTGGAAACCGGTAATGCCTAGCTTAACAAGGTTTCATCATGCAGCACTGTTTTACATTTTAAATTCTATAGGTTTTAGGCCTAAAAACTGGATGCGCAGACTGCTCAGAGTACATGTATTCCATGCAGAGCAAACTATAGTTGCTATTCAAGACTGCTAAAGAAATGGTGAGAGATACTATCTGGTCAGGTATGTTGGTCAGGTGGTGTGCCCCCATGACTACATGATCAGTCTTTGTAGTGTAACTGTGTTGCATTCAATGCACGCTCACACAAAGAGTTCTTGTCAATCCAGTATTCTATTCGGCACTTGGTGAAGGCTTTTGATTACCAAGGTCTATCGCCATTCTGATTTAGGATAAATTTCACACATGCAACTTGATTCTAAAATTCCCTACTGTCTTAATTTGCGTGATAGCATATATATATCCAGATCAAGTGCCACAATTGTTTTTACCGCAAATAAAGGATTCTTGTGCATGCCAATCAAACAGAGGGGTGAAATACGGTTTGGGCAATGCAGTTAACGATTCAGTAATTCACAACATTTCCTAGTAAAAAGTAGAAGTAACAATGTTATCATAAAATAATGATTGGAACCAGGGAAATACATACAGTGAGACACTGTATTACAATAACATAATTAGGTCACATAAATTCGCCCAGAAGTAACATGTTATATTATGACCGCCTTTCTCCGAGTACGAGAATGATACCATTAATAGTATTACTGTACAATGATATACGATTAGGTTGTGGTTTGGGTATGAGTTAAGTTATCGTGTTACTAACGCTCATAGGGTCTATGTCCCCCAGGGTACAGCCGGAACGTACCCTGGTCACTATTTGATATGGCTAGGGTTAGGATTAGGGTTAAGGTTAGGGTTAGGGTTAGGGTTAAGGAGTAGGCGTAGGCGACTCCCTAGACTCGTTAGTGTAGTAGGCGAGGTACGGTCCGGCATATTAGATAGTACCAGGGTACGTTCCGGCAGTACCCCGGGGGACATAGACCCTCTCAGCGTTACTAACACTGTTAGGGTTCAACGTAATGATAGGATGATTATGATATTATATGGGTTCATGGATATATGCGCTAACCGCAATTCATTTTCGCAAATGGGCGACATGTGCAAATGTGGACAGCTCTTATAACTTATAAGTTATGTCCTTGGCTTGCATGGGCTATTATAATTATATAGTACGGCTGTATCATGGTACCGCCGGTCTAATAAAACATTGATCATTGAATTGAGCTGTAAAGGACTCAGTCATATCTTATTTGAGATAGTTTGTTACGATGTTTAGTTTATTAAAATTCATTGCCCGACTAGAACTTAGGCTCATAGGGTCTATGTCCCCCAGGGTACTGCCGGAACGTAACCTGGGTACGGTCCGGTATACCGGAACGTACCCTGGTCACTATTTGATATGGTTAGGGTTAGGATTAGGATTAGGGTTAGGGTTAAGGTTAGGGTTCGCGTTCGGGTTAGGGTTAGGGAGTAGGCGTAGGCGACTCCCTAGACTCGTTAGTGGAGTAGACGAGGTACGGTCCGGCATATTAGATAGTACCAGGGTACGTTCCGGCAGTACCCCGGGGGACATAGACCCTCTCAGCAGAACTTAGTAGTAGCATTGGGCCATTGGCCGTACTTCCCCGTAGGCGTAGTACTACTACTACTACTAGTACTACTACCACTACTAGTACTAGTACTATTACTACTACTACTACTAGTCTAGTCAGGTGGGCTCGGGCCATTGCAGCAGTCACTATCACTCAGTATCAGTATCAGTAATGACACTAGTCCGAGATTCCTCTGACCAATGCCCACACCGACGATTTTGGTGGTTTTGGTGTGGGTTAGGCCACCCACCCACATATTGACCTAACCCACACCAAAACCACCAAAATCGTCGGTGTGGGCATTGGTCAGAGGAATCTCGGACTATAATGACACTTGACAGTATCACTGCCATTCTCGCCACACACAGAACGCTGCTGAATAAATACAGATCATAGATCACTAACTAAGCTATTATTAATACCTTTCTCAAAGTATATAATTTCACGTGTACATTCGTTTCCAAACAAAATTAGAACAGATATTATAAATTATTCAACTACAACTAGGCCTACAACTACAAGTACTTACTTGACAACAGACACCGCGTTACCAGGCAGATACAATGGATAAAACATCAACATTGACAATTATCGCCATCTGGTGTCGTTTAGCACAGCTCAGTGGTTTATGGACTATAAATTACTATGTAACTGTATCATTAATCATTATTATTGCAACATTGCAATTAGCAACGTATCAACATTGCAATTAGCAAATACTGTGATATATTTGTATCTACCTGAGCACTTCCAGCTGCAGCATCTAGGGTGTCTGACAGCAAATAGTTGGAACTTTAAAGATATATGCTTTGATGAAGATATTTGAAGCAGTAATTTTTCGTGATTGAAAGATGATTCAACTAAAATCTGCTCATGCTGAGTGCATACAATTATCAGTGAAATAAACACCAGTAAAATTCCAAACGTGATGTTTGTAACAATATATATATTTCCTACCGCCCAATCAAAGTTTACTCAAATATGTTAACAAGAGAAAATACAAACATGCACACATGGTCGGCACAGACTGAAATATTATATTCAATCAGTCTTCTGTACAAATAGCATTCTGCCCATTTATCCACACAAAAACTTTCGTTGGATGTTACATATGTGTAAAATTACATAGGCTGAACACAACAGTCACATAATCTCACCAAATGCCAATTCCTGGCATCACCAACTACAGGCTTTCAACATCAAATGATCAACCCCGCTACATTTGCCACAACATGTTGCACCATGCAATGTATGTAGCAAATGTTTCACTTGCATTACAATAAATCCGTTGTGATTGGTACTCATATATGTGTTGACAATAAATAGATTTATGATTTTATAGCAAAAAAATTCAACCCCCTTATAATACTACTACTACTGCCCTCCTCCTTACTACAGGACCTGGTTCACACACTTCCTTACATGACGTGAATAACTGGCTGATGATATCTTTCAACTTGGCATAGAAGGTATAGCAGTTGCTATTCTACATATGTCCCATACCCCGAATCCCTCCCTTGTCTATCCAAGGAGAAGAGAAGCTTACACATGCATTTCATTTACAATTTAGGCAGTATGTTTTCAATAAAATTGCGCCGTTAACAACACTAGCATTAATGATACACAAACACATTTAACGTTCGAGAAAGCTGCGGCTGATTGCAATAACAGAGAATGCCATGCACTGCCACATTTCGTAAATAAAACCCTATCGCAGTGGCTCCAAATGTGGGTGATACCACCCCCATAGGGCCTTGGGATTACCTAGGGACTGCTAAGAAGCAAGGGGTTGGGCAGATGACACTATATTGCACTGACACCGCGCAGCTAATGTTGCTAATGATGTTAAGCAATCACAGACGACCATCTTCCATGTGTCCAAATAACTTTTAACCTGACATTGGAAAGTTGGTATCACTTCCACAAGCCCATCCATCACGTTGCAAATTAGTGAAAAATGAAGCAGTTACTTAATATGGTATCTTAGTGTGTTGCTAAAGAACTAATCGACTTTGGAAATAATTCTACCAGGTTTATCAATTTTCTTTAATTAATTCAAATAAGTTGTAAATAGATTTTGAATAAATTGAGTAATTAATTGTTACTGGTTTGGATTTTATGGTATCTTATTGTTACCTTCAAGTGTCACGCAAACTGCTATTTGATTGCTTTCTACAGCATAGGGTAGGATGCATTGGGGATGAGTTTATGGAGCTAAGGGGGCGGTAACCCAAAAAAAATAGGAAACCACTACTCTATGGAGTCTGGGAGACAAATGGCTTTGCCCAGCCACTCAATATACTTCATAAAAATGTGGAGCTCCTAATTGGTGCATTGGCTACGCTGTGCTGGAAACTGCCAATTTTTTCAGGTGATCCATGAACACTTGAAGGCTGACATCATCAGTAAACACTGGAGCACCAGCATCCTAGAGAAGAAAAACCAAGGTAATGCTGTCACAAAAACTGGTAAGAATCTGGATGGGAACAGTGATTACAGATATATCTGATATACACATGATGAATACGTTATCTTGGAAAATTTCATTTGAAATACATGGGTTCAAGACGTGGGAATAGTGATATTAGTGAATGCGCCAATGTCTTACGACATATTAAAAGAACATGAGCACACAAACATGACAGGACACAACCATGAAGTATCTGTACTGGGAGCAGTTGCTTCTGTCACACGATTCTTTACAGTGAGTGGTACAAATGTTGTGAAATGCATGTAGGTATGCACCACAGGTATGCGTACACATTCTTACCTGACTCCACGTGTACATCGTATTGTGTGTCTGAGAAGGATTCACCTTAGACAACAGGAACCGAGCCTGGGAAGAAAATTATGAAATTTTAGATCAGATAAAAAACACCTACTATATATTCTAGTTGCGTCTGAAAACGTACACAGTGCTTATAGTCGACATAAAGAGAATGATACAACATTAATACCGAAGATGAAAATGAATTATATGATTGGTGGTAAGATGTATAATATATAGAACAAACAAGCAGTATGTGATACCTGATAGAGGGAGGAAGAAGGATCGTGATACAAAAGGCAGAAAGACAGATACGTAATACATGACAGGCTATGAGGGAGCATGGGTCCATGATATATGGCATTGGGAGGAGGAATGGAACCAAATACACCATCTATAGTGATAAAACAAAAATGCATACCCAAAAGAGGGAAGAATGAAACAACATACATAACAGAGGGAGAAGGAACGATACCACACACACAACAGAATGAGATGGAGAAAAAAACATATACACAACCAAGGGAAAATGAATAGAATCACATGCACAATAGATAGAGAAAGAGAGCAGACAGAACAGCGTACAGAGAGAAAGGCTGCTGTACCTGTGATCCCATATGTTCGGATTCCACATATCGGGGCATCGGGAATCGATTCTCGAGAATTTCCTGGGCATCGTCAACAGGAGCCTGAAGCAGCTGCCGGAAGTTCTCATATTCCGGCTGATTGTGGTAGCCTGCTTTGTACCATTGTGCTATCGTCTGTAACACACATATAACACTAAACTTTCCTACTCCGACTGAGCGTGGTAGCCGGCCTTGCACCACCGGGTGAGCGTCTGTAAGCCACACATCACAATGAAGTTCTCATATTCTGGCTGATTGTGGTAGTCTGCCAAATACCAAAAACGCACACGCACACACGCACGCATGCATGGATGCACGCACAAACCACTTTACAATATTGCACACACTTTAACTAATTTAACATACTAACTAGTAACAACACACACAAATGGTCTGTAGTCCCCCTCCCCCAATCACACCCAAACCATCCCCCATAGAAAGAAAGAGATGCTAGGGTGTGCAGATGAGAATGAAAAGCAATATTTCAAAAAATCTCAAATTTCTGCATTTCAGATTAGAAAAAAACGTGCTTAGTCTCCTCCAAAAAACGTTGGCCCGCGACAGCTCGACCCTACGTGAGCAACTTCAGGAAGTTAACTAATAAAAAAAAACACATGGCACCACCTACCTCGCCCCTGTAGATGACGAGGTGGAAGAAGGAGTCCATGAGGAGGATGCGGTCGATCTGGATGCTGCTGCTATCAAGCAGCACGGGTTCCGGCGGTCCGCTGAACGAGTACGAGTACAGCACCGGCTGCACCATGATCAGACTCTGCGTGAGGTCCTCCCTGTTCAGGATGTGCCTAAAAGCAGACGACGTGGAGCACGTTATGTAATGACTTATGTGCGCCAACACCAACAGTCTACTCGACCAAGACAGCGAGGAAAGTTGACGCTTCAGGGACATTGTAGTAGTGAAGTATAGTATGTAAGTAGTGTAGTATAGAATGTATTAGTTGTTGTTCCGTCTCGTAGGCTAAATTCAGAAGGGTAGAAACAATTCTATTTCAATTTGACTTGCGATTAATTTACTTGACTTTCTTTTTTTTGCAGGTAATCCAGCTCACCATGTGATTAGCGATAGTGGAACATGTTTTACATTTTGCATACTAATCCAGGCAGACTCACTGGGAAAACAAGCTAGCAGTCTGGCAATGGTCACAAAGCAAAGTGGCAATAGGTTGCACAACCAACGTATTAGCCAGCGAGCCGTGCAGCCGTAATTTGCACAGTCAGTTTTGAAACTAAACGGCCAAAAATGTTAAGCACGGACTAAAATATTGATCTAAAGCCGTGTACATTTGTAAAATTGCACTCCCAAATATTTTTTCTGCACTTCCACAATACTCATTCCTGGCTAATACCCTGTTGCACAACTGGTGCTAAATTTAAACCCTGAAACAATCACGAAACAATACTAGCTGCCTGCTTCCATCATTGACTAACACACACCGGTAGTAGGCAGTCTCATCAGGACTGTTGTTGAAGACTTGTAGAAACTGCGAGCGCCTAAGGTGGAACATAAACTGCGGATACAGGGAGAACGTTTCCGATAGCCGGAATGAGTTCGGATCGTCCTTGTTGTACTCGCCAAACTTCTGACACTGCAATGACAATGCAACGACGTGAAACTCTGCACCGTAACAACACGCCATACTGCAATGCGCTCACATATCAAACGTAAATACAATGAAATGCCAAACTAGAAAGCACAAGCAGTGCTTGGATCAATGAAATTACTTAGTGTTTTTAGAGTATTATTTAATAATTCAACAAAATTATTCACTTTGATTGCACACAAATGACAGAACAAATGGGTAGTGATACAGATTATGCCTGCATATTTCTGCGCACCAGTCTAATGAGCATTCTGTCTAGCCAGCGGAGCACATCTGGTCCTTCGTCCGTCTCGGACCTGAATATAGCAAGCCTCGCCATCAGCACTGCAGCTGTCTCCTGGTCAAAGCTGGATGCTATGTGAGGCAGACTTGTTGTTGCATCTACCCAGCTGCAAATAATACGATTGTCAGCAACACTTACCCAGATTAAATGCTACAAGACAATAATCGAGTAATTATCTATTTCCGAAATGTAAACAATACCTGTTTTGCAAGGATGGCAAAAATTATATATATTGATCTTCTACCTAGGTCTCGGCAGCCAATTTGATATCACATATTATATCACATTTCTCGTGTTAACACGAATATCTGTGTTAGATCCTACTTACTTTCTGGCAATGGTGGTGACTCGGACGCGTTTCTGCCCACTCGGATGCTGATACTGCGTGATGAATTGTATGAAGCCACGGCCTCCCTGTGGGATCGGTGCCGAATGCTGTGCCCAAAACCAGACGGTTAGATAAGACACCTAATACTACAGGAAGGCTTTAAAGGATTTATTTCGAAATCATTGCTCAAAAATGCAAAATCTGGAGAAAAAAATATATCGAAATATAGTCTCACCTCATAGCGGATATGTGACTGATTACACTAACTTGAAAAACACTAAGAATTTAAATGCTTTTATAGCATAGAAAATTGGAATTGAACATGTCGTAACATCATGGGATATTTGATTATAGAGACAATTAATTTGCAAATGGCACCTTCAAAACAAGTGCACCAACAGTGCACCTAATTCAAACAAAAGGGCATCTCTTTCTGTGTACTAAACTAGGTGCGAATTAAAATTTTAGCTTCACAAGAAATGGCGGAGGAAATCAAAACGAGTAAGCAAAAGCCGAATCGTGCATGTTTTGGTGAATATAGCTAAGTACGAAGGTTCTAAGACATGATAGCGTTACACTAGAGACTAGACAGTTGCTGTTACTCAAGCTATAAGAGTTGAGTACTGTAAAAGTGGGGAAAACACGAGACTGGTCAAAAATTATATTCGAATATCTGGCTTTAAAAAAACATACATGACCCAGTCACTTGCAACACTTGCAGCCAACTTATTCATGAATCTCACTACGTACCAATTACCATAACCTATTATGCCCCCTAAAAATATCGGCTAGAAGGCCATTGTGTTAGCTGTCTACAACCATCTCTTACATAACACACAAGATATGATGTTGGTAGATTTCACCGATTGAAACATCCATTAATATAGGCGATACGAGATGCAGAGGTTCTGCATCTCCCGGCACAACGTATGCTTAATGATGTCACCCACGCGTAATCTACGTGAAAGCGGCACGTGACGTGGCTGTGACGTGCGCTGTGACGTGCGCTGTGACGTGCGCTGTGACGTGCGCTGTGACGTGCGCTGTGACGTGCGCTGTGACGTGCGCTGTGACGTGCGCTGTGACGTGGCTGTGACGTGCGCTGTGCTGTGCGCCGTGCCATAAGCTCAGCTATACCTGGTGAACGACTTCGAAGTAGACGGCCGCCGTCGTGTTCGGATAGATTCCGCAGAACTTCCACTGGCACGTCCCTCCACTTCCCATCTCCGTTTCCGACACGCTGGGGCTCTTCGCGTTCATTGATACGCACGGGCCGATCACTCCCATAATCTTCATCTCCCTCGAACACTACCGGTGTGTGCGAAAATAACAAAACCATCAATCGCTGTGCCGCTCACATTGACGTTCAGCAGCCATGCAGACATTAGCAACGTCAGATAGAACAAGGTGCGATCACTATATAATTGGCAAAAGTCTCAATTAATTCGCCAGTATATAATGCTAGGCTGTTTTTCGAGAGAATGAATGCCTAGATTCTAACGATGGCAAATCCACAATCACCACAATGGCAATCCCATTCACATTTAATATTTATTCACTCAGGTATTGCATAGAATCCTCCAAATGTTTGTATATTATAAAAGCTTCACAATTATCTTTAACAGCCTTTGCTTCTAAGTGTGTAAATAGTTGCAAATAATTATTTTTAAATACTTAACACTAAACTTAACACTTACTTAAACCTACTTTTATACATAAATAATATTCTCACCTTGACTTCTACTACTGCATTGAAAGCCATCGTGAATTCACCCTTTGAGTCCTTGGCAAACACTCTCTGGAATGTCTGCTTGAATAGGGTAGAGTCAAACGAATCACCCATCACCAGGTGGCCACTGCAATTACAACATGGATAATAGACTAAAGGTAACCATGACAATGCATGTTGATGGAAAAGAGCAGTAACAGATTCATGAGATAAATTGTCGATTGCAAACGTGAACATAAATTTAACCCACAATGACTCAGTAACTGTTAGCAAACTTTCCAAATACTAGATACAATGGTGCTGCCATCTACAGCACATCCCAATAAATTTAAGCAAATAGAACAAAGCGAGCACAACATTGCAACTTGGTTACACTTAATGAGACACATTTCATTACGTACTTCTTCATCTAAATAAAAAAAACCTGTGTGCTATTATGTCACCATAAAACATATCAATGAGGAAATCAGGCATAACCGACTCACCCGGTCGTGTTAGGGCAGTACTTCATCTCGTGTATGCCAGTCTGATCAAGAGCACAGGAGTACAGGTCTATCACATGTCCATTCTGAGCCGCTCTTGTCGCCAGAGCCTCATAGTGCTGCCCAACAACATGCACAAATTACTCACCACTGACAAACCACCAAGGAAAGCAATCCGTCGCTCTAATGCAGTGCTACTTGCAACTTCTGCCACGCGAAATCGAGCCGTCACGTACCTTGATGGCTTTCTTCACGTATTTCGCATTGTCCTTCTCGATATCATGATGGGAGCGAATCGGATACTTGAGTTCCTCGCCGACAACCATGCCGGGTCCCTGCGTGCAGGGGCCACCGATGAACAGCATTATGCGAGCTCCCGTGTTGGGGTAGGTGCACTGTAAGCAGATGTGTGCGTCGTTAAGTTCACAAATGCTGTGTTTGGTAGTTCGAAATTTCTGCCGTCCCTCGTTCAACAGGCAAGATACATTCCTGAGACTTGTCCGCTCAGGTAAACATTGCCTAAATGATGTCATTATAACATGGTGCATATCGAGATAGTGGCGCAACACCAGGGGGTTATACACATGAATTGCCAGTGCATTAGTTCTGTTGAATGTGGAATAGAGGTGGGTAAATTACAAAGATAGTGGCAGATGTCATTAGATCTTTTTTCATTAACGTGCAATTGATTATTGTCTGGAATTATGACATAACTACCATTAAATAGTAACTATTAAATGAATGTTTATTACCCATTACACAAGTCTTTAATAAACGAGGTATGATAGTACACGCACAAAACCCACAATTCTAGTACCATAAGACTAATTTAAGGTGCATTAAAACTTCATTGCTGCTCTTTCAATCAGCTTCTAATTCTCACAAAAAGTTTAGAAGAAGTGCTCTGTCCTATGTAACTCCGAGAGAAGGCAAGTAAAAAACAAATAGGCTCCGCTTATACCTCTAACAGACCAGCCGCAATGGAAAGTGCAACACCGGTAGAACGAAGCGGACGTTTGCCCTGCTGTACTGGCCACGGATCCTCCTGCAGCTCTCCCAGGAGGTCAGTGAGTGCTTCATCACACTTGTGCACAGGCTGCAAGAACCTGGAATCGTGTGTAAACATAAATAACCATAACGTGTACCAACACAAATAATGACGAACGTAAATATTGGCTATAGATATGGGATAACACACCATTGTCGGATTACCCATGTCGGAAGGTGAAACAGGTGGAAAGATCATTGACCAAGAACGACAAATGCAACCGAATTATGGCAATTTTACGAAAATATCAAAGTAGATAAAATGAAAATAAAAGTGACAGGTAAATGTAGATGGCAGTAAATGTCGTAGCTATGGCATGTACATAAATGTAGAAACTCACTTATTAAATGTCTGATGCTGTTGTGGTTGCTGTTGCTGACCTCTTTGCTGTTGCTGGGGCACTGCCTTACCTATTCCCAACATGTCCTGTGATAGAAAGACAACAAGTTTAATAATACATACTATTTGGTAGGATATTGACTTGTACAAGTTGCAAATAATATAACACTACATACAATCAGTTAATGTATTTTCTTTTATTACGAAATAAATCATATTTTTTGCTAGAAATGCTTTGCTGTTAAACTGTTCCTGTAATTGGAACCATGTCCTATCACACAAAGTGAGTATACTCACATTGAATTTGCATATGTACATGCATGGACAGTTAACACACGAAAAATGGTTTATACCTAATCCGGACCATATCTATATATATATATTAGTTAGCAATGCAGGTGTTCAAAGATGAATATGGTTATTATTAGCCAAAAATACCATGTATACCTGTATCTGCTTGGCAGTAAGGTCCTTTGTTCCACGAAATACGTAGCTCTTGGAGATACCATCGCAGCCTAGCTCGTGCACCTGCACCATCTTACCAAATGTGATGACACCAATTAGAGCATTGGGTGGCAACAGACTAAGAGACATCTGCAGTGATTCCTAAAAATATGAAAATTCATATTAACAGATCTAATTTAGCAAAACCTGTAAACAAAACGATGACTGACAGAATAATATTATGTAACCGCATCTAAATTAAGGTAGACCTTAGCATTGTTTTACCTGTAATACAAAATCCAATCAGTGAAGTAAATTTTATCAAGTTTCCCTCCATAAATCATACATGCACCTGGGCAACTCCATGCTCTATGTGTTTATTCAGCCTTACGTACACCATTAGTAATCAAAATTATGATTTTGTAACACAGATGAGCAACATTACATTAGCACTATACAAATATTTAACTGGAACATCGTAATACTGATAAAAAAATCCCAAAATGGATGACACAATCTACGTGTACAGTTATATCTAGTGTCAAGTATGTTACCTTTAGAGCCTGGAGGTCTTGTTTGTCCATACACATATCCAGAACTATGAGGAAGATGGGAGGCAGTGTAGTAGCTCTCTGAAAGATAGTGAGAACAATACCGAAAATTGAATCAATTTTCTATATGACGTAAGAAGTAGAATGGAAAATATCACAGAGATGCTTACGGTTATAATACAAATCATTACCGTTACAACAGAATAGTCAATTTTAAAATTACGTTTATATTTCAAAGAGGCTACACAACCACATAATTAATTTTGGGGTTTGGAAGTGTGGCGCCACCTTCTCACAATCTACTGTATAATATTATCACACCTGGCTAGAATTCGAAGGTCATCAGCCAAACCATACTATTACTTCCTCAGTCATGCTTGCTTACCATGATACTATACTCGATTGTGGTAAAGTTCGGAATGATCTCCGCTGGTTGATGTTGCTCAGTTATTGCTGCATACTGAGGTGGGAAAGGATTACGGTTGAAACAGAAGTTGCACACCCACACTCTTGATCTGTAGTCTACTTGGCTGCAGATATAAAATTAAATATACAATTTACATTTCTTTTTTTGCGGTCACCAAACTCACATTCGTAATATAGCAGATTCCAATAGATTCTATATACTGGTCCATTTAAAATAAATAAATTGGAGTAGTTGAGGGATATGTTAAAATGATTGCTTATATTATGTTATCTCTGCTTCTATAGCAATGTTTCACGTGACGTCATAGATCAAGTCACGTGTATTTGTTATGTGTTGTGGTTGGCAGAAGCGAAGCGTGCTGCTTGACATTTACAGATGAATGACCAAATGTTTTGATAGAAAGCGCTGTTTATGCCAGTTTAAAGCAATATGCCTGTTAGCTGCTGTGTGATTGATTGCAGAAATAGGTTCAAGAAAGGTTCGGGAATAAAATTCTTCAAAATTCCAGAGACAGAACCGAAGAAAACGGCCTGGGAGAGTGCAATTTGCCGTAATGACTGCAAGTACAGGGCTATATAGACTGGTACTCGCTCCCACCTCAATTACCCATCGAGTAACTAAGCTAAGCCGAGAGGTGAGAGCGAGTACCAGTCTAAGGGCTATAGGCAGCGCACTGCTTTCCAATTCCCATACGAGCCTCGCCATTGGAGCGTTGCAAAAACGTTGCAGTGCTGCGGCGCAAGAATGAGGTCACGAAGAGCGCCGGTGGGTGTTTCCTGATTCTGACACTCATTTACATTTACTGGGCAACGTTAGCGAACGCAAGAATTTCGTCAGTCTTTGTGTGATTTCGCGTGACACAGCTCGGTTACGAACAGAGACAGTATGTTTTCATAACAAGTGAACACTGTTCTTGAAATAGAAACAAAGATGGAAGCTGTTGGATGTGTATTCGTGCTGTTAAGGCGTGAAATCAAGCGAGCGTCGAGCGAATTTAGCGATCACGCTTTCCTACCTGCTATATATTTAAGTGTCAGTGTGCAGCGTGAGGAATGGCAGCCGGTAGCGTGTGTTGCACATAGGGGATTTGGACAGAATTTACAGGAAACTGTCACCAATAATAGGTGAAAGAGAGTATAGAAACATTAAGAATTTGGTAGTAAATAGATTTCGTATTTATTTAGCATTATATTTTATTGAAACGCTTCAAGTGCCTGTAGGCGTGTCGATGAGATACGTGTAAATATCACCGAAGGTCAAGTCGGGCCAGAATGTGGCGTTATTCTGCCATCCTTTCAATCTGTATGGGTCTGGTAGTGCAAATAAACTTTTGTTGTACTTAAGTTTAGAAAAATATCTAGATTTTGCGATAGAATTAAGGTTATTTACGTATTCAGACACTTTTGAAACGCTTGTTGCAGTCGAGGATGCCATAGTTTCTTTGTATCAAACAATATCACGCATCTGCTTGCTGCCAACCGTTAAACTGCGCATGTGCATCAATTGCTGACGTCAATGTTTATAAACATGAAACATCGCTATAGCAAGCATCTTGTTGTCTTAGATGCTGATTAAGTGATTTGATCAGAGTCTAATTTAACAATGGAACTGAGATGCATGAATGAGATATTTATTTATTTCATACCTGAAAGGGTTTAGGATTGCTCTGCATGTTGATCTTGTGCAGAGAACTGGGTCGTAGTGGATTGGAGGAAGATCTGGAAGCTCTTTTATTGGGGTATACAGACAACCAATTGGCACCACTAGTCTGGTTGCCTCCAGACGACTGGAAGGCCATGCATTCACGCTGAATCGAACCCCATCTCTCTCCTCCTGCTGCTGAATAAACTCTGCATATGTTGCCATTACGAGGGTCCCCACTACAACCTAGATAAGCCAAAGAAGAACAAAAACATTTCTACAGTACAGACAATAACATGATTAAGTTAACAAAATAGAACACCTAGACCAGGGTTCGACACTAACGCTAGTCCGTTAGTCCGAGACTAGTAAAAAATCAGAAGGACTAGTAGATTCCCATAGCAGCT